ATAGAAATCAGGGAACGAAGGTAGAAGAATTCCAGTGGGAAAATACTGACAGATACATCCTATGGGCACCTTCCATTGGAATGAGTGGATAATTCAAGGATAAGAGACCCACTCTAAGGACTTAGTACTTTGATGATTAGACTTGGTACTTATTCAAGCTGGCATAAGGCATTCCATTTGGAGCAGACCCAACAGAAAGGTCTTCTGGGGCATGCATGAATAAATCAAGAAGATTAACATTAGACCAACAACCAAGAAGCCAGCAATACCCCAATCGAGGAATGACCAACTCAAACAAACAAGCTAGCAGTAAACAACAACCCAATCAAGAAACCACTAAGACCCCTCTCACCAACACTGACAAAGGCAAGTCATCAATATGTAAAATGGGAGCAAACTCCATTCTCAACTACCACTGATGATGCTATCTAGTTGGGTAATGAAACATCTGCAAGAAAACAGCCAAGCTCAAAGGACACCAAGGACACCTCACAAACCAGAAGACCTGGAAAAGTGGCTGTGCCAAAGTTTCAGGAAGGTGGAATATTGGTGATTCAAGGAGATGAAATGAAGAGCCTCTAAAGTTTATATGTTATATTTACTGTATATAGCTGTACTGCTTATATCAGTGTTTCTCAACCTTAACAATTTTAAGGCATGTGGACTTCAACTCCCAGAATTCCACAGCCAGCAATGCTGTCTGTGGAATTCTGGGAGTTGACGTCCACATGCCTTAAAATTGTCAAGGTTGAGAAACACTGGCTTATATTAAAAGCTTGAAGGCTCCTGGCTATTTTTTTTTAATTAACTGATATTTCTATTTATAACTAATTGGCAATAGACATGCTTATTCTGATCTCCTTACCAAGGATCTTGTCACCCCTATTCCATGATTTAATAGGAACTTAATGGGAAGTTTTTGTGGATAGAAAAGAGGAAAAAATAATCTGATTTGCATTCTCAAGCTAATATTTAATGTTGTAAGTCACCGAGAGTCACCTTATGGTGAGATGGGAGATAGGTAGGTAGGTAGGTAGGTAGGTAGGTAGGTAGGTAGATAGATAGATAGATAGATAGATAGATAGATAGATAGATAGATAGATAGATAGATAGATAGATAGATAGATAGATAGATAGATAGATAGATAGATAGATAGATAGATAGATAGATAGATAGATAGATAGATAGAGACAGACAGACAGACAGACAGACAGACAGACAGACAGGCAGGCAGGCAGGCAGGCAGGCAGGCAGGCAGGCAGGCAGGCAGGCAGGCAGACAGATAAGAGAGATAGAGAACCTGAGTGATCCTTAAAAATTGCACTTCTCTGAATCTTTGAAACTATGAATTTAAAAGAATATGTCAGAAAAAGTGCCCAGATAGATATTATACACTAGTGAACAGTGATATGTTGAATCATATTAAAGACCATCACTCACAAAGTGTCTGTGTGATGGAAAAACGCAAGTCTCAGGAAAAATATGCAGCAAGAGCCATGTGAAAGTCTGTGGGGACATGAAAATACCATGAACTGAATTTGAAGACTGGAAAAATTGGGAAATGAAAGGACAAATTGGGTTTCATCTCCAATTTTTTCCCCCAATCTTCCAATTCTGTTCATGAGCAACTCCTATTTTTCAAGAATAGAAATAAAATAAAGCTCAAATGACAGTTTCTTCAGCTGATGCCTGCCTGTTGAAACAGATTTTCCAATCACGTTTCTTGAAATTGGTCCATCATGTGCTCCTATGGGCTTGGGATCATGAACCTTATATGTTGTACAATTTTATCACAAAATAACCTTGCTTTGCTATTTCTCTCTAGTGCAAATATATGTCTGTGCTGGTTTATAATATAATCCTACCACAGTTCTTAACAGTTATTGAATAGATCTTAGTTATTTCTTTGGTGGTCCAGACAGCTTTCCAAGGCAAACAAAAATGCAATTTGGGTCTAATCTCATCTTATCCTTTGATGGATACAAGTATTTCAGACATATGAGCAAGCAGAGAGCTTCTCTCCTTTTAATCCATCCCAGATGCAAGGATATAGATACAGATATAGCTTTCAGAACGGGTGACCACATAACCATTCTCCTCACAGACAGTTTCTGGAGATGGTTACGATTTGGCCTTTCTTAGGATAATGACAGATCCATACAGTCAGAGTTTAGGAATTTCAAACTGGAAAGTAGGAATGTGCAAGAACATTGGAACTGAATGATTAATCTATTAATAGCAACTGCAACCTAACCCAAATCTTAGACAGTAACATTAATACACAAGAAATTCAAGCTTGACATTCATGGTATACTTTGGGGGGGGGGAGTTAATTTTCTTTTGAAGGGGCTTTTTAAGCTGGGGCAAAATAACAGAAAACTCTTCCTTCCTTCCTTCCTTCCTCCTTCCCTCCCTCTCCTCGTTCCTTCCTTCCTCCCTCCCTCCCTCTCCTCTTTCCTTCCTTCCTCCCTCTCCTCCTTCCTTCCTCCTTCCCTCCCTCTCCTCGTTCCTTCCTCCCTCCCTCCCTCCCTCCCTCTCCTCTTTCCTTCCTTCCTTCCTTCCTTCCTTCCTTCCTTCCTTCCTCCCTCTCCTCCTTCCTTCCTCCTTCCCTCCCTCTCCTCCTTCCTTCTTCCCTCCCTCCCTCTCCTCCTTCCTTCCTTCCTCCCTCCCTCCCTCCCTCTCCTCTTTCCTTCCTTCCTTCCTTCCTCCCTCTCCTCTTTCCTTCCTCTCTTTCTTCCTTCCTTCCTTCCTTCCTTCTCTTCCCCCTCCTCTCTCCCTCCGCTCCCTCCCTCCCTTCCTCCTTTTCTCAGTTGGTAAATACCACCTGCGACACTGCAAAGAATTAGATCCTCTTTGACAAATATATTTCAGTATGATTCCAACTCAAAGCACAGTTAAATCACAGTTTGTTGTGGTGATGGTAGAGCTCCTGTGAACTCAAATGTTCAACTCATTTCAAGGAATTAAAACAAAATATTTGTTTTGAATTTTCAATAATTCATGGCAGGCCTTTTGATTAGATCTCCAGTCCGCTGACATATTTGAAGAGGAGGAAGGCCAATAATATCTTAGTCACAACAGCCACATTACGCTAGAAATAATAAACTAACCAATGTCATATAAATCAGGAAGTGCAGTAGCTGGCACATTTTTGAGCATAGCTTGCCACGTGATGTTCGCTCCCAGACGGTCAGCAGCTGCACATTGAACCAGGACAGCAGAATCTCCACAGACTGGAACAGACACCAAGTTCCCCAAAGTATTGACCTTAAAACGAAAGATCAGATTTTACTGTTGTTAGCAGTAGTGGTGATTTGAATTCAGCCAGAACTCTTGATTAAGGATATGCTTAAAACAAACATTTTATATTTAATCCTGCTTTCTTCCCACAACAAAAAAAACCCTGTGAGATGGATTGGGCTGAGAGAGCGTGATTGGCCCAAAGTCACCCAGTCAGTTTTCTTGCCAAAGGCGAGAGTAGAACTCACAGCCTCCTGGTGATTGGTCCAAAGTCACCCAGTTGGCTTTCATGCCTAAGGCAGGATGAGAACTCATAGTCTCCTGGCTTCTACTCTGATGCCTCTTAGCTATTAGAATGGGCATCTTCAAACTTGGCCCTTTGATGACTTGTGGACTTCAACTCCCAGAATTCCTCAGCCAGGCACGCCTGGCTGAGGAATTCTGGGAGTTGAAGTCCACAAGTCATCAAAGGGCCAAGTTTGAAGACCCCTAGACTAGAACAAACTGACTCTTTATAATATAATTGTCTTGGATACAGAGGATGAGCTTATAGCCCAACTATCAATGAATGCTTTCTGAACCCACTCAGTTTAATGCTATGATATAGGGGCCGGGGTGGCTCATGAGGTTAGGATGCTAAGTCAGAAGACCATGAAGAGGTTGACAGCTCAGCTGTTCTAAACCCGTAAAGCACAATGGAATGTGTGATGGAATGAGCTCCCGTCAATTTGCTCCAGGTCCTGCCCACCTAGCAGTTTGAAAGCATGAAAATGCAAGTAGATAAATAGGTACCACTCCGGTGGGAAAATACCGAGAACATGAAGGGAGCCCCTTTGAGCATCCCCTGGGCCAGGGGTAGGCAACTTTGGCTCTTTTATGACTCATGGACTTCAACTCCCAGAATTCCTGAGCCAGCATGGCTCAGCTTGGAAACCTCTCCCTTTCCCCTCAGCATGGCTGGCTCAGGAATTCTGGGAGTTGAAGTCCACGAGTCATAAAAGAGCCAAGGTTGCCTACCCCTGCCCTGGGCAATGGTGATGTCACCAGCTAGTCCTTTCAACCCAGAAGTAGCTGGTAGATACTTCTGACACAAATGTTGTTGTAGTAGTAATATCATGATAGATTCAAAGATCAGTGTGCTCCTATTGGCTGGCCAGATCATACCCAGGGATGGCCTTGCCCAATCCACGACAGAGCTGTTTCACTGGCTTTTGCATAGATTCACAATTAAAATACCTGAATATGGCAAAAGCCACGAGACTTCAGCTCGTCCAGAATGAAGATCTGGAATGTCTCCAGCAACCCAGAATAGTCAGGGCTGCAGGTCTTCTCGGGAGGCAAGATGAGCTGAAACTGGGTTTGAATCTGGACACTCTGGAATGGCTGCAGTCCTAAACATAAGGTAAACAAAGTCAGGGTTAGACCAAGGATCCAACAACATTAGACCCTTTGAGGTGCATTCCTCCTTATTTTCCTTACAGTATATTTCAAATTCAAGAAAACTAATGAAAAAATAAAACATTGCACTCAATAATGAAGACCTGGTTTGTCTTTTCTTCTTCTTCTGTTGAGTCATCTATGGAGATTCTCTGTCATCCAGTTCATGGTTGTCCCAAAGATGCATTTTCAGGAGGCAACTGGACTTTCTTGTTTTTCTTTGAAGACATTTTGCTTCTCATCCAAGAAGCTTCTTCAGCTCTGACTGTATGGTGGGAAATGGAAGGATTTATACTCCTTGCAGACAGCTGGTCATTTGCATTCTTTTAGAGAGTCATTGAGTCCACCTGGAGGCTTATCTCTGTCTTCAGGGTCACCTGAGTGGTACAAATGGGTGTGGAGCCTTCTTGAAACTGCTGAAAGGGTCATGTTGTAGACTGGAGATTGATGATGTTGTATCCCTCCCCCTCTGTTGGGAGAGGGCTGTTCAGTTTTGACATAGATGGCCTCTTTGACCCCTCTTTCAAACCATAGTCCTCTCTGTCCAAAATGTGGACTTCACTGTCTTCGAAAGAGTGGCCTTTGTCTTTTAAATGCAGATGGACTGCTGAATCTAGTCCTGTTTGGTTTGTTCTCCCCACCATCCAGTCAGAGCTGAAGAAGCTTCTTGGAGGAGAAGCGAAACGTCTTCAAAGAAAAACAACAAAGTCCAGTTGCCTCCTGAAAAAAGCACCTTTGGAACTTCTGTTCAGTCACGTCCAATTCTCAGAGGCCATCTGGACAAGTCCCTGCAGTTTTCTTGGCAAATGTTCTTTTTTCCAAAAGTGATTTGCCATTGCCTCCTTCCTAGGACTGAGCTAGTCTTAATTCAAGGTTAAAACTACAATACGAACAATCACACTCCCTCCCATCTACTACCAAAAAGGGCTTGCAAGCAAGGCTGCAAGATGACTATAACTGCAAAATAAAATGGGGGGGGACCCCACATTTCTACATCATAATACCTACAATTATTCCATGTATAAGAAGGTGCTTGTTTTGATGAGTTTGAGTCAATGTTGACTCCTGGAGAAATCCCTGCAGTTTTCTTGACAGCATTTTTGGAAGTGGTTTGCCCTGACCTTCTTGTTTCTTAGAGCTGAGAGAGAGAGATTGGCCTAAAATCACCCAGCTGGCTTTCATGCCTAAGGCGGGACTAGAATTCACAGCCTCCTAGTCAATGACCCAATATCACCCAGCTGGCTTTCATGCCTAAGCCGGGACTAGAATTCACAGTCTCCTAGTCAAAAAACCCAAATCACCCAGCTGGTTTTTATGCCTAAAGGCAGGACTAGAATTCACAGTCTCCTAGTCAACGACCCAATATCACCCAGCTGGCTTTCATGCCTAAGGCGGGACTAGAATTCACAGTCTCCTAGTCAAAGACCCCAAATCACCCAGCTGGCTTTCATGCCTAAGGCGGGACTAGAATTCACAGTCTCCTAGTCAACGACCCAATATCACCCAGCTGGCTTTCATGCCTAAGGCGGGACTAGAATTCACAGCCTCCATCAGTTACTGGGTTTATCACCCAGCTGGCTTTCATGCCTAAGGCGGGACTAGAATTCAGAGTCTTCTAGTCAATGACCCAATATCACCCAGCTGGCTTTCATGCCTAAGGCGGGACTAGAATTCACAGTCTCCTAGTCAAAGACCCCAAATCACCCAGCTGGCTTTCATGCCTAAGGCGGGACTAGAATTCACAGCCTCCTAGTCAATGACCCAAAATCACCCAGATGGCTTTCATGCCTAAGGCGGGACTAGAATTCACAGTCTCCTAGTCAATGACCCAATATCACCCAGCTGGCTTTCATGCCTAAGGCGGGACTAGAATTCACAGCCTCCTAGTCAATGACCCAAAATCAACCAGGCCATAGGTAGACCTGGAGAGGTCATTGCAACTTCGAAGGGCCACTGAGCAACCAGTAGTAAGTCAAGGGCTTCCTGTATTTTGAATGAAAAAGCGTTTGTACGCTACTACAAGGTTTCGCGTACGTTCTCTCCTGGTATACTCACTTTGGCAGGCATGAGAATGAGGCGGGCTTGTAAGCCAGAGAAGATTCTCAGTATCACACAGAAGAGAATCTCCTTGGGAAAAGACGTCTTGATAGCCCGGAGAGCAAATCACTTGACATTGTTGAGTTTTTGTGTTTGCAGTGTTGATGTTGCAAAAAACCCCACCGTTGGTCGGGCTAGAAGCGTTATAAGGTAGAGGACACCGTGGACCTGAAAGAACATGGTGAACAAGGTCATTCCAAGGAATGGTCCTACGTATTCAAATCAGCTCTGGGAAGGAGACATTATCTGGGCTATTGGTGGAAGAAGGAAGTGATCACATACAGATAGGCCTTGACTTCTTCTTCTTCTTCTTCTTGTGCCATATCCGTTACCGGATGTTGGCGATCATGTTGGCGATCCTCTTTTTATCAGCAGCCACACAAAAAAGTGCTGCTGAGTTTTGTCCAAACCAGTCCCCACAACTGAGCCCAAAATTTCTGTCGTTAAGCAAAACAAGGTATTAAGTGAATTTGGCCCCATTTTACGAGCTTCTTGCCACTGTTGCTAACTGAATCACTGCAATCATTAAGTTAGGAACGTCGTTGTTAAGTGGATCTCCCCCCCCCCATTGACTTTTGCTTGTCAAAAGATCACAACAGGCAATCACAAGGAAAGGCTGCTGGAATTGGGTATGTCTAATTTAACGAAGAGAAGGACGAGGGGGGACATGATAGCAGTGTTCCAATATCTCAGGGGTTGCCACAACGAAGAGGGAATCAAGCTATTCTTCAAAGCGTCTGAAGGCAGGACAAGAAGCAACGGATGGAAACTCATCAAGGAGAGAAGCAACCCAGAACTAAGGAGAAACTTCCTGACAGTTAGAACAATTAACCAGTGGAACAACCTGCCTCCAGAAGCGGTGAATGCTCCAACACTGAAAGTTTTGAAGAAGAGACTGGACAGACATTTGTCCGAAATGGTATAGGGTTTCCTGCCTGAGCAGGGTGTTGGACTAGATGATCTCCAAGGTCCCTTCCAACTTTATTATTGTTATTATTATTATTATAGTTGTCATAAAAATGAAGCAGTTGGCCAAGCTGAATGTTGATCACATGACTGTGGGGATGCTGCAAATGTTGTAAGTCTGAAAAATGGTCATGAGTCCATTTTCAGTGCCATTGTAACTTTGAATGGTCACTGAATGAATTCAGCGCAAGTCGAGGACTATCTGTACTGAGTAAGTATAACAGAGGCCACATGTTGCCCAAAATCCCAGCCTAATGTAGAAACTCTAATGGCAGAAAGTGAAGAAGAACTAAAGAGCCTCTTGATGAGGGTCAATCAATCAATCAATCAGAATAAAGCCTGACGGGACTTGGAGTCTTCTAGTTCCATCCCCTGCTCAAGCAGGAGACCCTGTACCATTTCAGGTGGTTGTCCAGTCTCTTCTTAAAAACCTCCAGTGATGAAGCGCCTACAACTTCTGAAGGCAAGCCGTTCCACTAGTTAATTGTCCTAACTGTCAGGAAATTTCTCCTTAATTCCAGGTTGCTTCTCTCCTTGGTTAGTTTCCATCCATTGTTTCTTGTTCTGCCTTCTGGTCCTTTGGAAAATAAGTTGGCCCCCTCTTTTTTGTGACAGGCCCTCAAATACTGGAGTATTGCTATCATGTCACCCTTAGTCCTTCTTTTCTCTAGACTAGCCATAGAAACTCAACATTTAAAAAAAGGCTAATATCACAGCATCCGGTCCTGTCACTTCCTAGCAAACAGAAGGAGAAGAAATAGAAGCAGTTACAATGGCACTGAAAAAAATGACTTATAACCATTTTTCACACTTACAACCATTGCAGTATCCCCATGGTCATGTGATCACTATACAGATACTTGGTAAGTGTGAAGGCTCCGATACTGGAAGTTTTTAAGAAGAGATTGGACAACCATTTGCTGAAATGGTATAGGGTTTCCTGCCTGAGCAGGGGGTTGAACTAGAAGACCTTCAAAGTGCCTTCCATTTCTATTCTATTCTATTCTATTCTATTCTATTCTATTCTATTCTATTCTATTCTATTCTATTCTATTCTATTCTTCTATTCTAATTTCTATTCTAATTTTTATTCTCTTCTATTCTATTCCATTCTCTATTCTAATTTCTATTCTGTTCCATTCCCTATTCTAATTTCTATTCTATTCTATTCTATTCTATTCTATTCTATTCTATTCTATTCTATTCTATTCTATTCTATTCCATTCCATTCCATTCTCTATTCTATTCTATTCTATTCTATTCTATTCTATTCTATTCTATTCTATTCTATTCTATTCCATTCCATTCCATTCCATTCCCCTGGTCCTCGAAGTGTTACTTACGTTCACAAGCAGATTTCTGGCCATTAACTCTTGTCCCTGGTGCCTCCTGACCATTGTCAAAGACACACCAACAGCTTGCTTGATCTTCACTGCATTGCACTGGAGAGAAACCCTGAGGGTCACTTTCACACTCAGGGATGTAGCCTCTACCAATTTCCCGCACCAGAGCTTTCGACTTCAACAGATTGCAGTAGCTGGGGCCTTCAAAAGAAGAAGCAGATGGTGAAGGACAGGCACAGTCTGAAGCAATAGAGTTGCTGTTTGGTTTGGTGGTAGCAGAGTCTCAGATGGAAGGTCCATGCAGAGAGTGGTAAAGACAGCTGAGAGGATTATAGGAAGCTCGCTTCCCATTATTCAGGATACTGCTTATAAGTGCTACATGCTTAGAGCTCAAAGCATTGTTAGAGACCCCACACACCCACTTCACGGTCTGTTTCTGTTGCCCCCCTCTGGGAGGAGGTTTCGAAGTATTTCCAGTAGGACTACCAAATTCTGTAACAGTTTTGTTCCCTATGCCAGAGATCCCCAATGTCATGGTTCCGACAGATGAAACTCTTCAAAGAACTTCGAGGCATTGTTTACCTTATTTGAGAAGCATAGCATCGGCACTAACACAGTCGAAGCCAAAAATTGAATTCCCCTCCCCTGAGCCCATAGTATCAAAGCACAATTCCCTCCTCCAATTAACAGTCATAAATCACATTCTCCAATTAGTTTGAAATGCAGGCTTTCCCTCCTGTTCTCTAACCCGCCAATTCTTATCAGCTCTTATTTCAATAACCTTGGTTCACACTAAGTCCAGTATTGTTATGTCTAGCTAAACTCTCATGCACATTCCTCCCCCCAGCATCATCTACTGTAACTCTAACTCTAAAAGTAAAATATAAGAAGAAAATGGTTGCATCTCCAACTGTTGTCAAAGCAAAACATCCGATGTTAGCAGCGTTGGCACCCAACCTTTTGGGCACCAGGGATCGGTTACATGGAGAGAGGTTTTTCTGCGGACTGAAGGGGGTGTGGTTTTGTGTTCTGACTGCATCCCGTGGATGGGGCTTTGCTTGTTTGTGCGGCCCAGATGCTGGCATTTTGTGGCCCAGTACGGGTCCACAGACTGGGGGTTGGGGACCCCTGCCCTATGCCATCCACCTCGTACATTCTCAGGATTCTTTTTTTTACCATATTAATAATAATAATAATAATAATAATAATAATAATAATAATAATAATAATAATAATAATAATAATAATAATAATAATAATAATAATAATAGTAAAGTTGGAAGGGACCTTGAAGGTGATCTAGTCCAACCCCCTGCTCAGGCAGGAAACCCTATACCATTTCGGACAAATGGCTGTCCAGTCTCTTCTTAAAAACTTCCAGTGTTGGAGCATTCACCGCTTCTGGAGGCAGGTTGTTCCACTGGTTAATTGTTCTCACTGTCAGGAAGTTTCTCCTTAGTTCTAGATTGCNTACCATTTCGGACAAATGGCTGTCCAGTCTCTTCTTAAAAACTTCCAGTGTTGGAGCATTCACCGCTTCTGGAGGCAGGTTGTTCCACTGGTTAATTGTTCTCACTGTCAGGAAGTTTCTCCTTAGTTCTAGATTGCTTCTCTCCTTGATTAGTTTCCACCCGTTGCTTCTTCTCCTGCCTTCAGGCGCTTTGGAGAATCGCTTGACTCCCTCTTCTTTATGGCAACCCCTGAGATATTGGAACACTGCTATCATGTCCCCCCTCGTCCTTCTCTTCATTAAACTAGACATACCCAATTCCAGCAGCCGTTCCTTATATGGTTTTTTTTTTTTGAGAGCTGAATGCAACGCACTTTCGTTTTAATGTATGCTGATTAGCGTACATTTAAAGTGACAATAAAGTTTCTATTCTGTTCTGTTCTGTTCCGTTCTGTTCTTTTCTCTATTGCAACCATAACAGTTTTACCCACTGAAGTGTTATCAATTCAGGCTTTTATCAAGGAATAATAAAGACTCTTTGCTTCATTCTTGTCTGATCTGTCCTCCTAGCCTTTTTTTACATTACAGGTAGTCCTCAACTTACGACCACAATTGAGCCCAACATTTCTGTTGTTAAGTGAGACAATTGTTAAGTGAGTTTTGCCCCATTTTATGACCTTTCGTACTGCAGTAATTAAGTGAATCATTGCAGCTGATAAGTTAGCAACCCGGTTGTTAAGTGACTCTGGCTTCCCCATTGACTTTGCTCATCAGAAGGTCACAAAAGATGATCACGTGACCTCAGGACACGGCAACTGAAATATATCAATATCAAATGTCTGAATTTTGATCACATGACTATGGGGGACACTGCAAAGGACTCGGAACGGTGACAAATGGTCATAAGTCACATTTTTCAGTGCCGTTGTAACTTTGAACAGTCAGTAAACAAACTGTCGTAAGTTGAGGACTACCTGCATTAAGGTGGGTTGCACAGTCTGCCAGATGTTTAGACTGGATTTGGCATTTGTATCCACCTATCGAGTCCTTCCCAAAGACCTGGGCTAGGCAGATGTTGTTATCTGATGGTATAAAACAGGGGTAGGCAACCGTGGCTCTTTTATGACTCGTGGACTTCAACTCCCAGAATTCCTGAGCCAGCATGGCTCAGCTTGGAAACCTCTCCCTTTCCCCTCAGCGTGGCTGGCTCAGGAATTCTGGAGTTGGAGTCCACGAGTCATAAAAGAGCCAAGGTTGCCGACAGTAAAAAGGCCTTTTGCAATTGACTGATGCTGAGTTTGTCAATGCCGAAGGTGCTGCTCCAGATGTTTTGGGATTGCACCCAGGGCCCAATTACTATTGGAACTACCTTTGCTTGCTTTTGCCACAGTCTTTCTACTTCTATTTGCCTAACTTTGTCCTTGACTTACAACCGTCAGTTTAATGACCATTCTAAGTTACAACAGCATTGAAAAAAAGCAACTTACGACTATGTTTCACACTTACAATCATTGCAGCATCCCCATGGGCACGTGGTCAAAATTCAGACGCTTGGCAACTGACTCAAATTTATGACAGTCACAGGGCCCCAGAATCATGTGATCCTCTTTTGCAACCTTTTGACCACCAAAGTCAAGGGGGAAGCCAGATTCACTTTACAACTGTGTTACTAACTTAACAACCAGCAATCAGGCAGCATAAAAAAATAGATTAATATACAAATAAATATTTCCTGTGGTCACACCTAGTTAGTAAAATCTGGTATTTTCTTCCCCTGGGGGAAAGTCCTTTCTTATTCTTATTCTTATTCTTATTCCTTTTTCATTGGCTAGAAACAGACACTTATAAATAGAGCTTTAATCAGTTTAATAGGAACAAAAGTTTCCATTGGTGAAAGCTGAGAATACAGTAAGAGCATTCCTGAAGACTTAAGCCAAAATTCTATCCAAAGTATTTTGGAATGTGTTTGTACACTGCTCAGAAACTTCTTTAGAGAATTTTTTTGGGGGGGAAGGGGGAGAAATCATGCAGGAACTGTGCTATGTCAGGAAAGCAGGTATGTGCTTTCTAATCATATAAGATAAGATAAGATAACTTTTATTGTCATTTTTTTACTGTGGGCACAACGGCACACATCAAAAATGAAATTTAGTTGCCTGCTCTCAAAGTGAAACACATACATGACGCACACCTAAACATACTATATACAATGTATGTATAGACCCACACTCCTACATATACATAGCGAATAAATATTAAATACTGTCCATCTTGAATATATAACGGAAGGAGGAAGCTTGAGAGTTCACAAGGTTAATGCTGTATGGAATGAAACTATGGCTGAATCTGGATGTTCTGCTACGGATACCACGGAGCCCCCTCCTCCCAGAAGGGAACAAGGAAAACAGGTCGTGGAGAGGATGTGTAGTGTCCCAGATAATCTTACGGACCAATCTTACTAATGCCGATTACTTGGTAACAAGAAAGTGGTATTCTCTTGTCACTAACATTATTCCTGCCAGGAGAATACCCTGTTCTTGTCACCAAATAATTTCCTTCACTTTAGAAGACGGGATTAGCTAAAGGAGAACTTCGGGAGACTCCCTAAATAGGATCAAAAGTTAAATTAGAAAACAAATGGAGGCACTTACAAGGAACCTCGCCGTTAGAATCAACTTTGCTCTCTTGCGTTACTTCTCCTGACACCGGGTTGACACACCAGGCCCGTTGACCCAATTTCTGAACATTTGCATAGTCTCCATTCTAAAATAGAGAGATGAGTGAGATGAGCAGCACATAAATGAGAGAGAGAGAGAGACAGACAGAGAGAGAGACAGAGACAGACAGACAGAGACAGACAGACAGACAGAGACAAAGACAGAGAGAGAGACACACACACACATAGAGAGAGACAGAGAGACAGAGACACACAGAGACAGACAGACACACAGAGAGAGAGACAGACAGACACAGACACAGAGGACAGACACACACACACACACACACACACACACAGAGAGAGAGAGAGAGAGAGAGAGAGAGAGAGAGAGAGAGAGAGAGAGAGAATTATGTCAACAAATTCTGTACAAGATTGGTGTACTAGAATTCTGAACAAAATTTAAATGCTGGCTAATTTAAACACAACACCCTTCATCTTTTCTGCTATTTGATCTCATTATTATATTACTCATTCTCCTTTATATTCTACTTTATTAGTACTACTCATTCTAAAACGAGTAGTACAATAATGAGTGGCTGAGTGTGATTGATCCCAAAGAAGGTAAAACAACATTCAATTTGATAAATATTTGTGAACTAGGTTGGGAAGCCAAACAAAAACCCTACCCTTGAAGAGGGCAATAGCAAAGGACACCTGTGTCGATGCCAATAAATAGCACAATTGTGCCCATGTAGTCACCAAAAGTTGAACTCAAAGGAATCTTCGCTTACATACTACTTATTTGGAGACATAGACAATCTACAGATGGTGGTCATGTATGGCTCCTGAGCATTCCATTTGTATCCCAAGATCATTTCATTGACACTTTGGATTCTTTTTCAAAGTCTGGGGAAATTTTAAGATGGGAATGGCTTCCCTATGGCAGGGGTAGGCAACCTTGGCTCTTTTATGACTCGTGGACTTCAACTCCCAGAATGCCTGAGCCAGCCGTGCTGAGGAGAAAGGGAGAGGTTTCCAAGCTGAGCCATACTGGCTCAGGAATTCTGGGAGTTGAAGTCCATGAGTCATAAAAGAGCCAAGGTTGCCTACCCCTTCCCTATGGGAAGCTTCCTGCTCCAATTCCCACTTTTAAGAACCATCAAAAACCAACAGCAACAAAAAAAAGGTTCTAGATTTGCATGGGGAGGTTGGGAATGGGAGCTATTGGTCCTGAGATTCCCATTGCCCTTCCTGCCCTTAAAACTCCCCAAAGGCTAGTGAAAATAAATCAGTGTTGCTCTTTCCAAAATCATCAGAAGGCTTCTGTTGGTCCTGAATATGTCAGGAGACTTACTTGGGGCCCCTAACTCCCCACACCTTGCCCGTCCTTGACTTGATAGATCCAAGAAAAGCTCTCAAGAGTCATCTAAAATCCAAAAAGTCACTCAAGGCATTATGGAAGGCATCAAACATCTTGTTTTCTGTAGTTTTAGTAATTACGGAACCTAGCATGTTCTCTTGCTAAGCAAAATAATTGTGGGGGGGGGGGGGAAGAGGGAGGAGGAGTCATATTTTTTTTAGTGAACCTGGAATTAGCCACGTTCCCCCCTGAAAAGTAAAGGTAAGGGATTCCCCTCTCCAGTCGATTCTGACTCTAGGGACCAGTGCTCATCTCCGTTTCTTAGTTGTGATGACTCTCCCAGACACTTCCACAGATTCTTCTCTGGATTTCAGTTCAGAGGAGAATGAACCAGTCCCGGGCACTTCAGGAAGGGAGTTGGTCAATGGCTCCTAATGTCATGGTTCCAATTATGGAAATACTTCAAAGAACCTCGAGGCATTGTTTACCTTAAAGTCTCTTTAATAGTACAGCACCCTTTGGCATGAACATGGTGGATGCCAAGACCTGAATTCCCCTCCCCTGAGCACATAATATTCAAGCACAATTCCCTCCTCCAATTAGCAGTCATAAATCACATTCTCCAATCAGTTTGAAGGGCAAAGTTGTTCTGTAAGCCTGCGGTTTCTTATCTTAACTAATCCCCACACACATTCTTTCTCCTCCCTTCCCAGCACCATCTAATTTAACTCTAAAAGTACCACACAGCTTATACAGAGAGTGGCTGCCTCTTCATATTTTGTCAAAACAAGAACATCCAATGATAGCAGCATTGACACCTAGCAGCCATCTGAGAGGGATTTGGGTGAAGCACAGCTATAGTGGGACAGCCCTGAAGCTTCGGGTGGGAAAGCACACAGCTGCAGCCGGTCAGGGATGAGGAGAAGGAACTGCCTTCTGTGAAAACACATAGGGCAGAGAAAAGGCAGGAGCAGCGAAGGTTATCCCAACTACTCATGAGGAGGCAGCCTTATCCCTCTTGACGTGCTGCGCCAGAATTTGGTTATTTAGCCCAGCAGACAGATGGAGCCGATGCTGGGAACAATGTGTACATTTCTTAGCTGTGTGTTTCCTGGTTGTTGGGATTTCAGCCTTGCTTTGGATTGACCCTCTGCCTTAACTTTGGATCAGGCTGGTGAACTCTGGACTTGTTTTGTCTCATGCACCCTCTTGTCTTGTAGATTTAATTTTGCCTAGTGGGTTTATCTTGTTTGGGAAACTTTCAAATGCCTTGTGGACTCACTGGCCATTGCTCTACGGCAGGGGTCTTCAAACTTGGCCCTTTTATAACTCGTGGACTTCAATTCCCAGAATTCCTCAGCCGGCATGCCTGACTGAGGCATTCTGGGAGTTGAAGTCCATGAGTCATAAAAGGGCCAAGTCTGAAGACCCCTGCTCTATGGACTAGCATTGGTGGCTGGACAGTTCTGGGTTTTTAGTGAAGGGAATTGCTGGGGAACATTAATAAAACCACCCACCCACCATTATGTGTACATGTGAGTAAGTGGGACAGCACACAAGGCTGCCAGCACTGTCAGAAGTCACTTCTGTGGTCATGTGGCGGGCATGACTACATGTTGAGGCAAACGCTGTTACCTTCCTATTGAAGAGGTACCTATTTATCTACTTGCATTTGTATGCTAGGAGCTGGAGCAAGGAGCTGGAGCTCATCCCTTCATACGGTGCTTGGGTCTCAAACTGCCAACCTTCCAGCCAACAAGCCCAGCATCATAACTGCTAAACCACCATGTTCCCTCCCCCTCAAAAAAAAATACAAATATCTCAACCTTCAAAAAGGGAAAAGTGTAAGGCTGTAATAATTAAAATACAGTTTTCAGCTTTATACAACTTGCCTCTAGACAGGACGGAGTGAACAGAGCTGCTGAAATTGCGTTCTGTGTCTGTCTGTTCATTCTCCAACTGGCAATCTCTGCATTCACTTGAGAACGTTGACATGATGTCTGACCTGCATTCAGATCATTTTTTCCAGATTAATATGCATTCCAGGGAGCAAACAAGTCAGCAGACCCACTTCTTTCTTCACCCCAAATAATTAAAGACAGTTGCAGATACTGAGGAAACCAGATCTGTGAAACCACCAAGTGTTGACTCCAGCCAAAGAAATCAGTAATCGAGACACAGTGGAAGAAATCCATCCCCAGGATCACTTCATCAATCCAAATAAGTGAGCCAAGGACAGAATTCAATTCCAATCAAAATCTCCAAGGATACCTACAAAAATCTCTCACACCAGACTGAGAAGCAAAATACAAGTGTTCCAAGATCTAAGGAGCTGCCATAAAGAAGAGGGGGGTCAACCTATTCTCCAAAGCATCTGGAGGCAGAACAAGAAGCCATGGATAGAAATTAATCAAGGAGAGGACCAATCTAAGGAGAAACTTCCTAACAATGAGGACAATTAACCAGTGGAACGACCTGCCTCCAGAAGCTGTGGGTGCTCCATCACTGGAGGTTTTTAATAAGAGAGTGGACAACTATTTATCTGAAGTGGTATAGGGTCTCCTGCTAAAGTAGCGGGTTGGACTGAAAGATGTCTGAGGTCCCTTCCAACTCTCTTATTCTGTTAAAATACAGATAGACCTCAACTTACGACCACAATTGGGAATTACAACCAGAATTACCATTGCTAAGCAAGGGGGTTGTTAAGTGAATTGCGCCTGATTTTACAAACTTTTTTTTGCCACAGTGGTTTACAGTAGTGGCCAAAATTGTGGAAACCTTTTGGGAAAAGTGTATTTTTGAGGTCTGAGGGCTAATAACACCACTTTCTGGGGGGCAGTAATACCATAAAATTATATATCAATGGAAAGATAATTTAATCAAGAATGTAATACAACAAAGTTTGTTCAATTATCTGTACTGTATTCTACGAAAAGTTCTAGCCAAATAACCAGAAAAAGGAAGCACCACTTCCTTAAGTTGATCTCAGGTAGCTTTCTTTCATCTGATTGTAGCCAATGAGCATGAGTGTTTAGAGAGCCAATCGGGTGTCATCCTGTTTTGGCAATGAGCCAATCAGATCACAGTAGGATCCAGTTATTGATGTCGTATATTGAAGCTGATAGGAGGACATTTGTCAGTGTGTTATGTGATTGTTATCAAGTTGGTTGGGGTTTTTTTGTGTTCTTTCATTTAGTGAGCTTGTAAAACGTAATAAAATTAAAGTAATGGTGCAAAGAGTTGACTGGTCGCCCAGAAAGCGATGTAAAATAGTATTATTAAGTAAACAAGGCTACAGCTATAAAGAAATTAGAAGAAAAATGGGTGGAAACTTAACCAAAGGTGGCATTTCTACTGTACACTTTTCCCAAAAGGTTTCCACAGTTTTGGCCACTACTGTAGCAAATCACTGCAGTTCTTAAGTGAATCATGCAATTATTAAGCAAATCCAATTTCCACCCTTGACTTTGCTTGTCAGAAGCCAGTTGGGAAGATCCCAAATTGTGATCACATGACTCTGGGATGCTGCAACTATCATAAATGCACGCGGATTGCCAAGTGCCCACATTTTGATTGAGTGAGCATGGGGATTCTGCAATGGTTGTAAATGCAAAGATCTCCCCTAAATCACTTTTTTTTCAGTGCCATTGTAAGTTCGAACAAATGATTGTAAATCAAGGGAATTTTTAAGGGTAAGTTTTGGAAGACCCTCTATAGCAGACATATCAAACACAAGGCCCAGGGGCCAGATGCGGCCCACAAAATGGTTTCATGTGGCCTGCGAAGCCATCCTGGAAACAGTGAGGGAATGGCCCCCGCTGCCTTGGCCCTGGCCCAGGCCGGCTGAGAGCCAATGTACAATTTTGTGGTGGCCATCTATTCTGAAACACATTCAGATTTAGCTCCACAAGGCCGTCTAGAAACAGCAAGGAACCAGCCCCTGCTGCGTCGGCCCCGCCCCCTGGGTGCATGCTGGGGAGGTGTCACCCTTTGTGAGGAATGAAGAAATGGACCATGCCTTGGCACTTGCCCCGGTCCCACCCCCTTCTGCCAGAGACCCTCAGATCTGTCCCACTCCTGCCCAGTCCCCCACAGGCACCCTTGACGCAAATGATGTAGAGTTGGCCATTAGAGTTGCCAGGTGTCCACTATTTGAGTGGACAGTCCACTTTTTTCACATTATGTTCACTATCTTTTNTCACAAAATAGTGGACATTTTTTTATTCAAAAGCTTTATGATGAAATGGTACGTAATCTAAAGCTGTACAGTCTACTTTTTTTACTACTTAACCCCCCCCCCCCGCTTGTCTGCTATTTTTTGGAAGCAGACCTGGCAACCCTATTGGCCATGCCCACCCAGTAGGCCACACCCACTCCATCCACGCCCACCCAGTACGCTGCACCCACCCTGGCCACACCCACGCGTGCCCCCCCCCGAGGGCAACTACAATGCTGATGTGGCCCTCAATGAAATTGAGTTTGACACCCCTGCTCTATAGTTTAGCTGGTTTATGAAATGCTGGATTGAGGCCGTCCATACTAAAGATGTGGACGGCCTCAACTCAGCCTTTCATAAATCAGCTGAACTAATTTTATCCCAACATGCACTCAGCTTGTAACGGGGCAACAGCCCATCTTTAAAGAAGAAGACTTACACTGGGGCAGTTGTGTTGAACGTGTCATCAAAGAATCTGAAACATAACGTCCCGTCTCATCTACACACCAGCAGTGACCTGAGACACAAGAACAATAAGATGTGTTTTGGAATCACTTCGCAAAGAGATATGTCTTGCAACACACGAGTAGAATTAGACAACAGTTCAACAAAGAAGAAACAATTGTACCGAATCTGCCTTGACAATTTATTTTTGTCTGAGCTGGCTGCCATAGCACAAAAAAAATCAGAGAAACTGTAAATCTTTAATGATCATCTCCACCAAAGGAAGTAGTTCCTTTGAAGGCCTGCACAAGGCTTTCCCAGCTCCTCAAAGACTCAAGTTTCAGGATGATGGTGGCACTTTCTACCTCTTCAGTTGGAAGAAGATCCAAGGACATTTTTAATAAAGTCCCTGGGCTTGTGATGAATCTTATTCATGTTTTTGCAAACTGAGAGCTAGTTTTGTGATGGAAAAGATGCTGGACAAGAAATTGGGAGACTGTGACTTCCAGGGTATCCTTAGGCTTGAAAGTTGACTGAGTGAGTTTGGGCCAGTCATTCTCTCTCAGTCCAACCCAGGGGTATCAAACTGCAGGCCCGCGGGCCGGATGCATCACGGCGAAACCGCACCCACCCCATTGCTGACAACGGGAAAAAAATTGTGATACGTCGCGACACGTCACATGACCTTGCGAGTTTGACACCCCTGGTCTAATCTATCTCCCAGACTTGTTTGAGGAAAATAGAAAGTAGAGACATTACAAATGCCACATTGAATTGTATAGAATAAAGGCAAGATATAAATATAGTATTTATTTATTTTATTTATTTATTTATTTGTTTTGATTTATATCCCGCCCTTCTCCCAACGGGACTCAGGGCGGCTCACAACATATTTAAAAACATAGACATGTTTACAACCCCCACCAGATAAAACCAAATTAAACCAATATTTAAAGTTGTGCAGTTAAAATTATTCTTAAAAAACCCGGTTTAAAATCCTCCCTAGGCCAGGCCCG